AAGGTGTGTATGTCCTCGGAAGTAGCTATATATCTGTATTTTTGTCCTCGCAACATATAGCAATCCAAGTACACACACACACACAGACACACTAACTGCAAAGACTCCCATTATGTGCTTCGCACATGGAGTCAATAAAATAGCCCTAGAAACAAGACGAGAAACGCATAAATATGTTTAAGGAAAATGACTCTTTTTAAAAAAAAATTATAGTCTCAAATTATCACCACTCAATTCAAAAACAAATAAAATCTTTGAAGCAAGGACGTTGATGATGTTTTTATTTATAATCATTGCCCTTTGACCTTCTGTGCAATCGCAGGCACGTCTCTATTTTTCCCGCTCAAAAATAATGTTAAATTAGCTGAAATTGTTATATATCAACATTTCAGTGAATTATAGGTATTTCAGTGAGTGAATTGAACGCAAATCGAATCGAACGCTGTCTTCACACTCGTGTTTGGGGGTTTGCGATGACTTTCACAAAAGTTTGTCCTCACAAATGCTCTTCGGCGAACATTTCTAGTGAGAAACAGTTAACATGACACAAAAGTTTTATATTACATTATTTACATCATACCGGGGTACTCACATTGCAAGACTACATCAATACTTCTCTGCAATCGCTCAGGAAGCATGACTGCTTTAGGTCTTACAATTCCAGGATGAGTTCGATGTGAAGTTGTTTCCAGGACATCTTTAACAGATTCGTCAAATTTTGTTTTCATTTTAGAAATCGTTGTCATACTCTATAAAAAAAATAAAAAAAAATCATAAATTCATGCATGAAAGATGCAAAATTTTGTCAAAGCAAATGTTGGCAGTACTTTTCATTAAAAGTAATTTACCTCAACAATGTGAATTATAATTTTTCTTTTCCTATGTAAATTTTTTCATATGATTTTAATTTCAAATGTAACTGGAATCAAAAATGTGTTCTTAATTAATAAAGATGTGCAATAAAAAAAGATAGATGTATTAGTATCATATCCCTAGTTGCATCGTCATGAAATAGACCATTTTCCATTCATTGGGAGATCCCATGTTATACCATAGACCTTCTAAAAGAGAGGGTCTATGGTTATACATGTACGTAAAATGAAACTGAACAAACACTATCTGTTTGTGAATATATTGATTGATTAACCTAAAGGATGAACCATTTAAAGTCCAGGGTAGGGCTTGGAATAATGTAATTATATACCCTATATAATATAAAATATGTTTTTGAAATGCACCTCTTGGCTATTAACACTGATTTCTCATTGCCGGAGTGATTAGCATCCCTAATAAATAACCTATTTAACCGCTGGACAGAATTAATCCTATTATCAAAAATTCATAGTTGACTGGACAAACATTTTTTGTTTTTGGCCGCTACATTTTTTGGTATGAAACGCAAGGGCGATAAGACCTGATTTTCAAGAATGCAGGTCGTAAACTTTTGTGGGAATTTTTTGATTGTTTTTCTATTTGTTTTGTAAGCATTTGAATTCCACCTTGGGATTTTATGTGTTTCAATAAAGTACATGTGTATTGCCTTCTCATTAAAAGTATCAAAACTTCAAATTCAAACAAAGTACACATGTAAAGTAACTTTCTAGTGTGATTTTGGATTCAAAACAAGTAGAAAAAGGCATTGTTATAGCAAAGAAATGGATTGAACAGCATAATATGACACCTCTCAGGTAGAGGATAAATTATGAACATAAAAAAAGTTTACTATTTAACAGTATAACAAAAATAAGCATTTCCAACCATGCCCATTGAAAAAGGCTCGTAGAACCATTTGAAATTATGGGGTGGCTAGAAGAATGTCACCAGTACAATTCTTACATTTTTATTTTTCTTGTAAGTGCTAACATTTTATCCCCGCAACACCTTGCATGTAATTTTTTCTCCCAGTGTCAAGCATGCAATTTTTTTTTAACAAAGCTTCCACCTCAATACTCCAAGTGATCAGCTTTGTAATACAAGTGAAATACATGAAATTAAGAATTATTGGGGAAGTGCAAGTTTCCAAGAGTATAAAAAATTAAATAATAATGTTAAATTTATTTATTTGCTTAATGTTTCAGGTGGATTTCTAAATGTTTTTTTGCACATCCATGCTTAATGTCTACTTACGAGTCACAAATGACATCAGACATGCCAATTTAGAAAAGTGTCCCTTTTGCACCCCCGTCCCTAACCCTAACCCTACCCCTACCTTACAGAGCTCCCCAATTTGAAATACTAGTAGTTATCTAGAGAGAACATGTACACAATTGAATTGGAGGGCTTCGGTGCGAGTTAGGCTTAGAGGTAGGGTGGAAAAGGAACTTATTCCATACTTTGTACACTGTAATTCATTATTAGCTGTGGTGTATGTTTACATGTAGAAATCAAAACACTGAAATGTGGTGAAAATTATCTGTAACAACACAGCAAGAATGTAAATATTTGTTTTCAGCAAACTCACCCGAGATTGTCTCAGCAAAATAGCCTGTGTTGGTGTGAAATTTGATAATATACCGCACGAACTGCATGTTTTTTTGAAAAAACGACGAGTGACTACATTCCACATGGGCGCAGACATTTTTAATTTATGGAAGGACTATGTAACACGCCCTGTGATTCGATATAAGTTTATAGTTGTCCAATCGGAAGCACCGTCTCACTACCCGGTCATTGCGAGTGAATCAGGTGATGTATAATGATCATCTTTCGATGGCATTTATTCTAAAATTTGTATGGACGTGGTACGATGACGGCGAATAACGACAATACCACATGGAGCGGACGGAGTGTAACATGCACAGCACCGATAAATATAGCAGTCATAAAATACTGTGAGTAATTCATCAACATTGCTGCGTTATATTTATAATTGTCGGCTGGCGAGAACTGTCAATAACATGTCGTGTTCTGTTTGAACTGAATACATGTACTTGTATTATCTATATGTGAAATTATCCTGACGGTCGTAACTGCTAGGAGTAAATGTCTCCCAAATCCACAGACTCTCTACGACTATAAACTTAAAAATATGGTGCGGGATGTATACGAGAGAAGTCGGCCAATCGCCAAGTCGGCCGGGCGGAGAAGTCGGCCACTTCAACTCTACTAATAGGCAGGGAGACTATACAAATCTATGTTCGTAAACTACAGAACAAATTGCCGAGTTCATATAGGCTACCTACTATAATAGTGATCCGTGGTACATCGTGGCCATTCCAGGATGTAAACTCGTTCTTACAAATAAATAAATACAACATTAGTATATTGGGCCCATTTTATATGATATTTCCATGAGATAGCAAATTTAGTATTTTTGGCAAATTTTTAATTCATTATCAGTATCAGTGTGTTTAAATTTCCGCGAATTAACATTATGGCATTTTACGTCTGTCAAATAACGGCCAAATAAATACGTGGAATCATTAATTACTAAGGACCTGGCGTAAAATTGGAAATTACTCCAAATAAACAAATGTCCAATTCGGGAACAGGATAATAGTATATTTGGTTATTGATGAAATAGTAGGGCGCCACCAGACGGTCTGGCTTAGCAAGTGCGTCGTGTTTCTTTCATGAAGTTGACGCTGATTGTACACAAAGGAAGCCGCTCATCCCGTCATTGGATGGCGGCACATCGTGTATGTGGTGTTTACAAGGACGTGCTAATGATCCGTGGTTCATCATGACCAATAATAAAATGATTGGTTGTCCAACTGTGGGCGTGTTTTTTATTTCTGTGCTAAATGTGCACCACCAAAGTCCCGCCATTTATTTCTCATGGTTGTTCAACCATAGTCGTCTGCACTAGTATCGCGAGTTCTAAGTTTGGTTTACTCAGTGTTTACTATGTTGGTAAAACCTTGCAAATTCATTTTACCGCCACTTTACAGCGGTTTTCACACAGACACCAGTTAATTCCAATGGCTGAAGCAATTTCATATCGACCAGACACGCCCCAAAACAGACGACGAGATTTGACAGAATTGGCCAATGCGCATGCGTATAAAACAGCTGGTACTAATATCCTAATTTCCTAATAACTTATTTTGCACTCGTACAATGCAAAATACATATTTGATTAGGTTGGTTGGCCATCAAGTACCATCCTATGGCACCCAATTCATATATCACCAATACCATAGTACAGAGTTATGTTAACAGCGAGTCACAAATAAGACTAATATACTAAATTTGTATTTAATTAATTGTAAGGATGAGATTACATTGTGAAATGGCCATGATGTACCACGGATCAATAGTACAACCACTGCATGTAGGGCTGTTGGGTACCAGGCGACCCCTACATCACAGCATTCGACAAGCAAAAGTATTGACCATTCGCCGATGCATGGCAGTTTTGGGACTCATTCAGGGTGATCGCATTGAAATACTTATTAGAAACTTTTGACAGATATTTATTACTCAAACGTTATCATTAGATCTTCATTTTTTTTAAAAACGAAATCTTGCAGTGACACACATGTGTGCCATGAATAATAAACAATGCGAACCTGTGGTTGAGAGAACGTGCCGGCGGCCATATTGTTACGTGGATAGCCTGGCTTTACCACCCTTTTCACGGGGGTAGCAATGTGTCTGTGCATGGTGATTACTCGGACAATGTTTTTTTTCTTTTT